AGAAATAGTGAAATAGATATAAAACTTAGTTACATCATTTTAGTCAATATTTTTTTTAGTTATTAACGATACGTCACATTTTCGATTTTAAGGAATTGAATTAAGGTATTCTATGAAAAAATTAATCCACCCCTACTACCCGTTTTGTTTTAACAAGATTGCTGAGTGACGTCATCAATGACGTGTTAATGGCTAAGTTGCAAAACATTTCCTGTTGTGTAAATGTCAGGGTTAGCGTAGCCTTTTAGACATCTAAATATAACGTGTGTGCTTAACTTATAATGAAAATATTTTTTTAGGAGAGCCATGCTTTGGTTTGTTCAGAAAAAAGCAATAACAATTTTGGGAGGGAGTGAGTTTACCGAAGGGCCGATCCTCCCCTTTTCCTAGTTTCGGGAGCTTGCTTTTGTGTCTATTAAGCTACAGGTGTCTATGGGAAGCTGTAGTCACTTACTATCTGATTACCTAGTGCTTGTGTGACTCCTTAAAAATAATGCTGAACTTTTCAACCACACACAATTGAAATTACTATTTTGTTGTGGAGATGAAAATGCTAAGGTGGATATGCGGCGTAACCAGGATGTATAAGATCCGATATGAGTACATACGAGGAAGCCTGGGGAGGAAGCTGCTGGAGAGTAGGATGAAGTGGTATGAGCATGTCAGGAGGAGACCATCTGATTACTTTGGAAAACAGGCACAAGAACTATCCGTTCCCGGATCACGCTCTAGAAGAAGACCCAAGACTACATGGACAGATGTGGTGCGGAGAGATGTGAAGACATGCAATGTTTCAGAAGACGTCATCAGGGACAGGGCGAAGTGGAAGAAGTATGAGAAGTGGAAGAAGGGCGAATAGTCGGGAAGAGAAGGAGACGAAGTTTGCTAATCTGAAACTACTCCTTATTTGTCAGGTCCTTGTTTCGACCAGATGCTCACAGGCTAAGCGGTCAGCCTATGACTATGACCAGTGCCTATACTTCCAGTGTCGCGATTGACGTGCCTATCGTGCCAGTACTTATTACATGATTGCGTTAGGTATTAATACGCAAGGAAAGCCGAGGCCAAAAGCTAGTATGCTAATGTTTTTGCATCTCTAAATCCCTACACTCCCCAATCCATTGACATACATAAGTAAAACCCTTTCCTACCCTTGCGACTTTAGTAACTTTTTCTTTCCGACTTAATAATAACATTTTCCGACATTTGAAATCCAACACCATCTAGTTTCAAACTAAGCTTGTACTATAAAAGCTAGATTGACTGATCGAATACTTTATTTTTTTTTATAAATCCATACATATTTATACATAGAAAAACCCAAAACCCCATATCTGCAGATCATACAAACATTCGAATGGAACTCGAGACCTGAACACAGCAGTCTCATACGCTGCCACTACACCCCCGTGGCAGTCACTTAGTAACTTTTCTTTTGATATTGTTGCGAATTTTCACTAATTTGCCATCGTGGTTATAAAATTATGGTCAGCAAAATATGGCCATTTAATAATATCTGGTTACCCTTTAGTGAATATACGCGTGACGTATTCGTTTTAGCTTTGTTTGTAAATAAGTAACTGCACTTTGTATACAAATATTGGCAGATTTTTTTTTATCCACTTCTAATTGTCTAGTTGTGTTATGTAGTTCGAATCAAATTGTTGTTCTGAGTCTGGATGTTCTTTGAGTCCGTTTCATGTGTGTTTGTAAAGTCCCCCGTGACATAGGATATTCCTAATGCGGTAATTTCTTAAATATATATATATTTATGTGTGTATATGCAGTTCCGATGAAAACATTTTCATTTGGAATCTTTAAACTTGATTTCAATTCTGCGTTTCTATTTACATGCAGTTGAGATGCCATTGTCATCGGTCAAATATCGGTATTCTACTAACATAAATTCACAGTGTCAATAAACTGTAAATGTAGTGGCAATGGCTCATCAATGGAGAATACAACCTGGACATATTATTTCCTTACAAATTTAAAATGTACCGTTTACCAAACTATTACAAAGGCATTGACGACATTTGTGTCAGTGCCAGTTCAGTGACAAGAATAGTAGTCGTAATAGTTAATACGATTTCTGTGGTGACAAGTCATCGGGAGGCCATTGGTCTTACATAGTTAGTAGAATACGAAAAGTGGCAAACTATTCCGACGACATTCCATCTACAGTATTGATACAATATTATCAAATAACAATATTGGGCCCTGATCTAATAGTTGGTAGTGAAACTCTTCAGTAATTACTAGTAAACTCCTGAAGTTTATTCTCTTGTAAGTGATGAGCCTAACAGTTTGGGCTTAGTAACGATGGTTTGGAGGCGACTTCCACATACAGTGAAATAAAAACATACTACAGTACCATCTATCGAAGATACACCGAACTACGGAGTAACTACTAATCCTGTATTGCGCTATGACGAGTTTTCGCGCCGTAAATACGTATACAACTTCCTAACATCCACCGTTGGGCAGCGTTTCGCCAGGCAGGTTGCTTTTTTTATGTGGAAATCCCCTCTGGTCACCGCATAGGGTGAGGTGGTATGTCGGACTCGAAACGACTAAAATCAGTCTCACCAGGCCTTTGGATAGTGTACCCCCCTGAGGTTTCTGAGGACAGCTGTTCAATGTGTTATTTCTAAACACAAAATTTTAAATTAATTAATATAACTAAAATGAGGAAAATATTCTAAATAATTGACTAAAAAAAATGATCACTGGCCTTTACGATTTAATATTTTGAACTTCCTTGAAATGACATAAAATTACTCAACGTTATAAATATCCTGTTATAACTTTACTCGTATATAAGCTTGTATTGTATCTTACGTAGTTTTACCAACTTCAAGATATCGGATTAACCTATGAACCTATGTCTACTGACTATACCTATAAAACATATTAGTCATTAAATTAATCAAAACGGTATAAGTATGAATAATCATATTAATGTAAATTTGTAAATGAATGATAAAGTTCACCAAATAAGTAGATCAGAAGGTCAATTCTCATAATAAAAGTTCGGTCAGAATTTAGTTCCGATCACCTCTCGGTCTCGTAACTGTCATAAAAGATTCTTTGTTCTGTATTCAGAACCAAACTGCGTTGTGCAAATAGTTCCACAGGTTTACAGAAAATGTACCAGGAGGTTAGGTTAGTATTGGCGACCATTAGTACGCTCCATGGCCGGTAGCGACAGTTGTTTTACCGCGGTCGCAACCTTCTGCGAGGTAGTAATCTCGCGGAAGGAGGCGGCGGAGAGGGCCCGGGAGGACGACCTCCACTCGGACCCGATCCGCCGCCGGCGAACCGGGCGGCGGAGGCCCGCCTACCACAGCCTCATGCCGCCCTGAGTGTGGCCGCGGGTGGACGGGGTGGGTTTCCCCTCCACCCGCATTAGTTGGCCAGCCGCGAGGGGGCGGCGTCCGCGTGTGCCGGACGTCGCCTAAAGAGAGGAACATCTACATTGAGACGGAGCCCGCACCAGGAGCGGGCTGGCGCTAGGAGGGGTCCGGATGTCTTAACAACAGCTGTTCCCGGATCCCTCCTGTTACAGGCGCAGAGTGGCACACCGTGTGGTTTTAGTCGGTCCGAGTCCGACACACCACCCCGCCGCAAACCCCGGAGGGGTGACGGTCAGAGGGGATTTCCACACGTTAAAAAAAAAAAAAAAAAAGTATTGGCGACCAAAAAATAACCGAACGAACGAAAAAAAAAGTATACGAAAATGAAAAGAAGTTACAGGAAAATGAAAGAAAAAAATGTTTGTGAATAGTGATCACAAACATTTTTTGTTATTTTATTATTGTTATTGTCGGGTTTGAGAAAAAAAATGTCCTCCCAGATTTCTTCGTGCCATTTTTATGTCTCAGAGAAAGAGGATCAATCATTAAAAAAGATGACTGTAGATTTTTTGATTTAATTATCAAAAAAAATCATCATACAGTCATCTATTATTATTTTCCAGCGATAATAAATATATTTTAAGTAAACTTCTTCACATTGTTTGGTGATTATCCTAGTATTTTTTTTTGATTTTAACTGACTAGTACTAGTAGATCTGTCACTATGACTCTCAAAACGGTAACCTAAATAGTTACCGTTTTGAGAGTGATAGTCACAGATCTACTATTTTAGGTACAAATATTATTTATTTGACTATTAAAATTGCATTTATTTGTTAATTAATAAATTCATACCTCTTAAAAATTGCACACGTAACACAAATCAAAACACAATACAAGACAAAAAAGAAACAGAAAATACTATTTGTAAAAATTGAACGTCAAGCACCCCGGTCAAGCTGTGTGTTTTTTTTTGTTTTTTACCCGTCTGCCAAGCAAGAGTTAGGTTTATTACCAGACTGCCAAGAAAGGGTTATGTTTATCGTGCTTATCTTGTATGTTTGTTTGTAAATTTCTTAATTACTTCGTACTTTATAAATAGTTGAATTGATATCAACAGTTAAGTTATTGTTTTATCTGTATCAAGAACCTAAGTGTCCTTGAAACGCTTTTTAAAAGAAAAAACAAAATGGCGACTTTTTGGCGCGAAATAGTAATGACTAAATTAAAAAAAAACTAAACTTATCGAGTAGGGTATCAAAATTAAGAAAATTAAAAGGCGTTTATAAAAATATACTTAAATCAAAATAAGGAATATTAAACTGGTTTAAAAAGTTTTTATAGCGTAAAAATGAGCCATGTTTGTGTGGTACCTCGTGCCGTTTCTGTCTTTGTAGTGCATTACTTTTATATTGTACTTTTTTTTTAATTATTACTTGTTTACTAGTTAGTAACGAACTCTATCTGTTATTGCTTCTTGACAATCTCCACATTTCCGTATAAACCCGAACTCAAAATTGACATAAGGAAATACAACTCCGCTATAAATTTATTTCCCTCCAATGACGGTGGGCAAGAAGTCGAAGTCACTTCTTAGTGACTTAGAGATAGCAATATATTAATTTGTCTTCTCTTTTCTTCCAGACTGATGAGAACAGCTTCCTACTTCGCTTGAGGATCGTAGGAGCATTCTCGTTGGCTAAAAAAGATATATTTGGTGCTAGGTAAGTCAATTTATTATTTTACAATTATGTTCTTACTGGTATTTCTACTGTTTTATATCACTGCTTAGATACATAATGACATCCAAATAACTTTTATACTTTTACTTTAAGCTAGCATTTATACAATTAATGATTTTAAACTAGAATATTTTCACTAACAAATTAAAGTGACATCACACTGGCGATTATCTAGTATTACGCGTTTTTGATGCACGTCTATATGTGCAGAGGATCGATGTGCGATCGTCACGGTGAGCGCATTTCGGCGCTGCGATTGGCCCGCACTGAAATCTAAACCAATCGCAACGCCGAACATCCAACGTTGACTGCAATGTGATTACATCGTGAGCGAGTTGATATGAAATAAACTTGAGCTAGGCCTTCTGATCAGATGAAAGCCACAAAGAGGCGCATATCGCGTTTTGTTAACACTCATATTGTTCACAGAGTTTGAATTCGACATCGCTTTGAAACATTTTAAACGTTTATGTGAGGGGGGCCACATTCTTCGGCATACGGTACATATAGACCGATACTACGGCTTCACAGAAAATTGGTGTTAAGCAGGTCTTCTCCACTTATTATGTCAGGGTCATTTAAAGGCCGGCTACGAACTTGTAACTCTGAGTGTAGGTGTCCATGGGCAGTGACAGTAACTTACCTCCTTTGCCGCCCGTACCAATAAAAAAAAAACTACTGTTCCCTTTGTTTTGTTTCTAAAAACAAAATAACTGTATAAACAAGAGATAGCGGTTTCAAAAATTGTTCAAAACAGTGAAATTCAATATTTTTATGATACAGACTTAAGGACTTTTGATACAACTTTGATAAGAATTGTACATGACGCAGTAATAGGCACATTTACACGCAACGCCAGCGAGATTCTAGTGACTGCAGACTTGGAAGCTAGATAATTGTATCAGCACCCGCACTGCGCATACTTTTATCGAGCGTTTACACTAAACGTACGCTACGTAAACGATAGTGTGAAACAGCTCTAAGTGTTTTTTTTTCTTAATTATTTTTAGTGTTTTTTGATTATAAACAAAATTGTACATACAAAATTGAAATTTGCTAAAAATTATGGTATGGTATAACGTTTTGCGAGCTTATACTAGTTTCGGCGATCCTCGCCTCAATATTGGTTATCTACAACTTGGTGTGTTTATCTTCTTAATCGTTCGTCTCGTTACTATTAATTACAGAACCAATATACATTATTAATTAAAGGCAACGTTTCACCACGTCTTTATCAGGACCTGTTTGATTCTGAAGTTCAATATTTTTAGTCAAACATTCGATTATGCCGTAGTTCGAATTTTGTCATGTCCGATTCCGACATATCACTTCAACCTGATGCTGATATATTTCTAAATACATACATATTATAGATAATTTACACCCAGACAAGCTCATCTCAAATTTTTTATCCTGGACCCTACGACCTCTGGCTTAGCAGTCAGGGTCACTAACCTAATACTAACTCGTTTTTCTGCCGGAAAATCCAACGTTTTATGCTCAGCATATGCATCATTGTAGTTACTACTTTTGTGCGATACCTACGGGGAATAACCTTAACATTTGACAAAGGTTAAGGTTATTCCCCATAGGTATCGCACAAAAGTAATAACTATAATACAAGTCTACGCACACTAACACAACTTAGGGGGGGTAGGACCCACCCGCAGTGCAGTGCAGTACACTATTTCAGTATTCGTTACACCATCCCTTACACCCTGTATAAACCTACACTGTAAATATCGATACACAGAGTTGTGTACTGGGGTTGCATCACTTAAAACCAGTGATAGTGGTAAACAATGAGTCAACAGTTAAATGTAAAACGGACATCCTGCTCTCGACTGATTGATTGAAATTTTTTTTTATGCTACAGACAGGTCACCTGATGGTAAGTGACTACCACCTTCCCCGGACAACTCCACGTCCCTTTGAGTCTTAGAATTATTCCCCCCCCCCCCGCCCCCCCCTTAGAATTATGAGAGGGAGTTTGGGGGTCCGGTAACCGCACTCACTCGGTCCAAAGCAAGGTTGAAATTACTGCTCGTCTGACCCCTCTAACATAAAAAAAACCAACACCGACCACTCTGGTCCGTGTGGTAATGGAATAAGAATACAGAATGTCACCACACCTATTCATCCCTTGGGTGTCGTAAGAGATGACTTAGGGAGCAAACTACGCAGGACAACATCAAAGCAAACAGAAGAAAATTTTTACACAAGCCTATCTCAACCCGTCTGGCCAGGGTAGTATAGTATTAGTATAGTATGCAAAACCTCCTTTCTAAGGAGAGGCCTATGTCCAGCATTAGACTATTAAAGGCTGTTGATGTGATGTGTGATGTGAGCACTCTGGTCAAGCCAGCTTATTTGTGCTGAAGCATGGTTCTCCCAGGTCTCCCACCACTACTTCTTATACTATTTATCGTTCCTTCTAACACCTCTTATTCAACCTTTTTAGGTTGAATAAGAGGTGTTAGAAGCACAATATTTTTATTGTGCTTATAAAAACGTTATCTACACATATAAAATTACTCGCCCTGACAATGATTCATAAACGCATATCCTCAACCACTGGGGCTTTGAACTTGAAACTTTGAAACTTTGTTCGGACTAATACCAGCCGCAAATTTTCGCCATCGTTCCACAAGGCAAAATTTTCATCCTTATTACGTGGACACTTGTCGCTCTACTACTGTGCGCTTTTCGAGACAATTTTTGCCCCGCACAACCAATCTGTGGAACGGGTTATCATCTGCGGTATTTCCGGACCGATACGACCTTCAAGAAAAGAGCGTACTCCTTCCTAAAAGGCTGGCAACGAGTTTGTGACTCCTGAGTTGCAGACGTTCATGGGCGGCGATGGTCACTTTCCATCAGGTGACCCGTCTGCTCGTCTGCCCCCTCTAACATAAAGAAAAAAAAACAGGTGATGCTTTTTATGTTGTAAGCACCCATTAAGAAATGATTTTTAGAAATTTCGCCCCTTAGGGGTGAACGCTTGTATGGAAGGTCGTCATTTTCTTTATTTAATAACTTTATACACAAGATGTACAATGGCAGACTGAATGTCATAGACAATCTCTACCAGTGTAACGTAGACAATCTGGTGGTGTGGCAATTAATGAATAGGGGGACTGCACTTTGGTTGAGAATCTTAAAGGGAACATAAAAAGAAATAAATATTAATATATACTGTCTCGCACAGAAAGAGAAGAGAAGAAGTGAGAGAATTTTCAAATTTAGAAACACAAAGAATAAATAATTAAGCGATCGAAGCCGATAGTGTTAATATACGTTTATAAGGTATGCGCTTATTATATAATACATCCAAAATTTAATTAAAACGCATTTAAAAACAAAAGTAGTTTTTATTCAAAAAATTAACTAAAGACATAAGTTTTATATTAAAACAAATGCTTATGACAATAAAAAGAAATTACTATTAAGTATTATTCTTCACGTTATTATAAATTGTTAGCATAATTGGTATTAATTACTAATTAACTTCAACAAATGCATCCTAAAGCTAACTTCGGGAAAATACTCACAGTGGACAATGACACATTGTCAGTAAGTTCATCTTCAGAAGAATCTTTTATACAATAACCACTAGATTTTATACATCATCACATCACATCAACAGCCTTTACTAGTCCACTGCTGAACATAGGCCTCTCCTTAGAAAGGAGGTATTGGCCTACTATACCACGCTGGCCAGACGGGTTGGTATAGGGTTTTTTTCAAGTGTTCCTTCTCTCTGCAGTGCTGTAGTCCTGCGTAGTTTGCTTCCTTAGTCGGCTCTTACGACACCCACGGAATGAATAGGGGTGGTGACACTCTGTATTCTTAATCCGTCACCATACGGACACTATACATCATAGGTAGGTACATTAATAATTTATTTGTACACAACACAAATGTATAACAATGAGTACCAATAATGTACAAAGGCCGGTCTTTTTGCGTCTTCTCTGTCGTATTCCTGTTAGCAGACTGTTGGATATAGTCAGATACGTGGCTTTCACCTGAAGGCTAATTCTCTTAATAAAAGTACAATTCAGCTCACAGCAAGCAACTCTCGATCTCACAACTGACAAAAAAGGTATTTTCGTAGTAAAGTAATACGCCTTATATACGCATGCGCAGTGTGCTAAACATCCAACGTGGACTGCAATGTGATTACATCGTATTGTAACCCTTCGGTAATCTCTAAGTCTTAGTAATTCTTTACTATTTTACTACGACAATACCTTTTTTATGACAGTTGTTGATGAGATGTTGTGCGACTATAACCCGGCAATCTCGTGCGTGACCGTCCCGCGGGGTGACAGACAGTGACGAGGTAGCGCGTCATTCTAGAACACGGCTACACACGAAGAGAAGCGTTTCCCTTCCCCGCTACACCACCCGCTACCCGCTGACATCTTGAGTACCTCGTCCCCGCCACCGTCTGTCACCCCGCGGGACGGTCGCGCACGACGTTGATGGACTATAGTTTCGGGCCCACCAGGGCAATTTATCTAAATGTTTATTCTACCAGGTGGTACTCTACAAGGCTGCAACCACCTGCGTCGCGTCTTAAGGAACATCCTATATTTCAACATATTTGGTCCCAATCAAAGTCGAAAAAATTCTACCCTTAAATTTAGTAATGAAGAATATAGTTTATTCCTTACCAGCTTTTGCCCGTGGCTCCGTTAGCGTGTACATATGTCGGTTGTTACAGAAAAAAGTAGTCAGCACTCAGGTATTTTCAAAATTGGGTCAGTAGTACCTGAGCTTACCGCGAACATACAAACTCACAAACTTTACCTTTTTATAATATTAGTATAGATAATATAAGCGCAATGAAGTTGGTTATATTTTAAAAGAGGCTAAGAGCTCAGAACTGACAAACGCTAACAGTATTGATTGTGGTAGTGTTTACAAGGTTTTAGGATTGCAACACCCAACGGAAATGATGAGATAAAAATACATAA